AGCACTGCGTGATTCCACTTCTATGAGGTATCTAAAATAGTCAAGCTCATAAATAAAAAACGAATATACCCTGCTTTTGCACTGCACCTTTACTTACTTGGCGGGGGGGGGGGGGTGTTCTTTTCTCTTCAACTAAATGGAAGCCCGTTGGGTGAGAAGACGATTGCATTCTTGCACTCTCCCTCCATACAAGGCAGGTCTTATGGGAGTTTATTTGCCTGACTGAAAGGGATGTGGGCAGCTGTCTGCATGCTGGATGGATGGGCCACACAAGGAAAACACTGAGAGCAGCTGTGACTTGTTAAAAACCACATATGACCCAGGGCTTTGAAATAAGCTGAGTCCAATATTAAATCACAGCTCCTTCTCTGGTTCTGAAAAATACCAGTGACCCAGATTGTGTCTGCTGGCCAAAATCAAGACGTCCTAGAGCTCATGATATCCATCGTTTCTAAATTTCAGCTCCCAAATCATGATGCTACAATACTACATCAAGGGAGTTCTATGAAAATCACCCAGCTTACCCTAGCCGTCTAGATCTGCTGTTGATGAAAAACACCCCTCACCACCACCTATCCAGCCATCTGTCTGTCAGCATCTTGAGAAGGAAATTCGGAGCTTAAAGAAAGCTTAGGGGATTTAAAGTGCTGCTGGTAAAGAAAGCTAGACCCAAATTCCATGGCTATAGCATGCTTTCTGCATTATCCAGAGCAACACACATAAACCCTTTTCTTTTAATTCTTAAATTTATTGGGGTAATATTGGTTAATAACATTATATAAATTTTAGATGTACAAACTTACAACATCTGTGCAAAGAGGGTAAAGGGGGTCAAATGCAAGGTCACAGAAGTAGACTAGACTTCAGGTGGTGAGCACACAAATCTTTGAACCCCAGTGTCCTCATGCAAGATAAGGGCTGATAATACCACCTCACAAGGTTGTCATAAAGATCAAATGATATGCATGGCCTTTAGACAGTAGTAGCATTTAATAAGTAGCAACAGCTTTTTTCTCAGGTTAATCCCCATCAAGTGACCTGAGAATGTCCTGGTTAAAGTCCAGTCAGCACACACTATGGCGATGCACAGAATATATAGGTTTTCTCTCCCCAACCTGCACCCGAGCTTCTAAGGAAGCCACTGAGCCTTTTTATCCCATTGCCTTCTCCCTCAGGCCCACTGAGCACAGCCGGGGCCCAGCTGAGTCTCAAGAAACCTTTTTACACTTAAAGTTAGAATTGAACTTAGTTAAGGACAGATATATGTGGTTTTCCTGTTGAATCTCATAACAACACCTGGCATATATATGCCTAAATATATCTGCTGAAACTTCACTAGACCATTCTCTATAAAAAGCTATCTTCTTTATAAGAAAACCACCTCTTCTCCCTCTCCTCCCGCCCCCCACCCCGTGGTTTTATCACAGCCCAGATGCACAAAAGGCCATGTGTTATGTGGGGGGTGGGAGTGGGGTGGGGGAGCTGAACAAACTGGAGCCCAGCCACCCTCAGAAAATAGCTGCTGTCAGGAGTTCTCCATTTGAGAAGAGAATGAGCAGCTCCCAGGCAGACTTTACTAAATTTACTATTCCCTCAGTGACTTCTGGGTGCCAGCTGCTCTCTGTGTGCAGTGGTGGGGACTCAGTTTGCTCATTCACAGAAGCAGGCACAAAATAGCTGAGATAATCAACCAGGGCCAAAGATAGAGAAGACTGACTGTGAGTTTTCTAGGATATCAAGATGAGAAAGGGCAATGAGAGAAATGTGTCAGCCACAGTTTAGTATCACCAAGAAGCACGGTCATGGAGTTGCCCGTGACAAGAGTGTTAAAGGAATAGCCCAGATGTATAGTGCCACTTATGGAAGGAAAGGAAGGACGGGACAGTGTGCCTGAGGAGCACCAGAAAAGGCTTTCTTGAGGGTGGATAGTGTACTGTGGGAAGATGGCCGCCCTCCTCTTGGCCCTGGCAGAGGGAACCCAGCAATCCGGAACTGTAGGGAAAACCGCTATCTGTACTTGGCGAAAAACTGTGCATTGCCTACAGCACACCCTTTCCCTTCACCAGATTCTGGTTCTACGAAAGCTGTTTTACAACTCTTTGTAAATCGTAGCTAAGTATAGTTTACTCAGTCTTGCCAGGTAGTTTCAATAGACTTTCCTCCTCCTTCTGCCCACCTCATGAAAAAAACAGTTTCACTCCTTTATTCAGGATTTATGCTGTTTTGACTTTTCCTCTGAACCAGTTATAACATCTGCCTGGTTCTCTCATATGAATAAAATAGAGTCCTTAGCACATGTTCATTTTTTTATATGAGAATCATGATCTTACTTTTTTTCCTAAAAATCACCCTTGAAACAGAAGTCTTACCTCCCTTCTGCTGAACACCTCCCAAGTGGCCCCAAGCCAGCTGACCATCCCTTCTGGGAGGCAAGAAGCCCATTGGCCTGAGATTTGGGAGGCACAGTGATTTCCCAACAGACGCAGGCAGGACTTTAAGCTTCAGTCATGACCTTCGTCACCATTTACAGCGCACTTTACATACCAGCCTCTGAGGAAGTGCTCCATGCTTAGTAATCTCATTTGATCCTACAAAGACCCTGCATGGTAGCTTTTCTTATTCTTCTTTTATAAATAATGGAACTGAGGTTCAGAAAGATAAAGCAACTTGCTCCAGTCACTCACAAAGTGCTGAGGGAGGAATTTGATCAAAGTCTAGCTCTTAATTCCAAGACTACCTGACCTTGGCTTTAAATCAAGTTCCAGAATGTATGTAGGATTGAAATTTAGCTCTTCACTAAACATGGAGAGATGTCCAAGGAGCAAGTAGCTTCCCCAATCTGAGAGGGTTTTCAGAGCTCCTCCATGCTCCCTCTCTCTATTGCTGCCACTTACTGATCTTCAGATCATACCACCCCTGATCAAATAGAGCTTGATTTTTCTCTGAATTCATGATCTCCAACCTCAGCATGGCCAGCATGGAATGTAAATCCTACTCCATTCTACTGGCTACTCCCTCCTCCACTTTCCCCAAAGACAACTTCAAACCTTCTTGGCTTAAACCTCCTCTATTAAAACCTCTCCCCCTCAGCCTCCCTCCAACATGGCCTTGCATCCTACTTTGCAGAAAAAAACAGAAGCCCTTTCATGCTTTCACTATAAACTACCCCCAGCTACACCCCCTTGCCCCCAATCCTTCTTTCTTTTGACTTCCTCCTGCTGAGGTTATTCACTTACTTATTATCTCCTTTTTAGTATATTTAGTTTCTCCCTTATCAACTAATTTCTCCTCATTACTTTTTTTTTTATTGTGGCAAAATACATATAAAATATACTATTTTCACCAATTTTAAACGTATGGCTCAGTGGCATTAAGTGCATCTATACTGTTATACAGCCATCAGCACCATCCACGTCCAGAACATTTTCCATTTTCCCAAACTGAAACTCTGGGCCTATTAACCAATAATTCCTCCCTCCCCGCAGGCCCTAAAAAACCACAAACCTACTTTCTGTCTCTATGAATTGACCACTCCATGGTACCTCATATAAGTGGAATCATACAGTATTTGCCCCTTGTGACTGTCTTCCCATTGACTTTCAAACACACTCAATTCTCTTCAGTCTAAAAAGTGAAAACAACAAAATCTGACCCTGGAACACTCAAATCTCTATAGCAATTTCCCCATTTTTCTCCTGCTCTTCAGAACCAGACCTCTTGAAAGAATTATCCAGATTTTTCTTCCCCAGTCACTCCTCCATACACTCCAATCTGGCTTCTGGCTCCAGCACTCTCCCAAACAGCTATTGCAATGGTCACCAGTGGCCTCCATTTTGTTAAAGAGAGAACAATGCTTTTCAATCTTCATCTAAGCATCTGCTCTGCTTTCATTACCAAAAGTCCCTGCATAGGACTTCTCTATTCTCTCTACTCTCTCCTCTAGTGCTCTCATTTGGTGCTACTGTTTCATTGACACATAGATATAGACGATTCACAAATTCTCATCTCCAGCCCAGACTTTTCCACTAAACTCAGTCCCATTTGTACAACTGCCTGCTTGACAACTCTTCGCAGATATCTAAAAGGCAGCTCAGATCAACTGTATCCAGAACCAACCACCTTTTTGATCTCTACCCTCTTCCCTGAACCTAGCCCTCACAACCCAAAACATCTTTAAGTACTCCCAATCTCAGTGACTTCTAGCCAGCCAGTTATACAAGCCGGAAACCCAGTTATACCTGTGGCCTCTCTTCCTTCACCTCTCACATTCAAGCCAATGCTAAAGACCATTGACTGCATGTACCAAATAGCTCTAAAATCCAGTCTTTTCTCATATTCACCTGTATTTCTACTCTGTTGCAACTACCAGCATTTCTAATCCACAGTCCTGCAAGAGCCTCCAAACTGTATTTCTCCATCCACTGCAGGGCTTCTGATCAGGTGAAAGCTGGGATGTTAACAGTATGCAAGTCTGGCCATGCCACAAAGAAGAAAACTTGGCTCCTTCTTACTTTCAGCCTCATCGCCCCCCCCCCGCCATACACACTCATTTCTTCCTAGGTCCTTGTGTCCCTGCTCCCTTCCACACATGGCCTTACCTACACTGTTGCCTCTTCTTGAAAAGCTCTTATCCCACCCCTTTTGCCTTCTCCTTCTTTCCTACACAGCTAAGTATCCCCTCCTTGCTTTATCTGACTTTGCTGACTAGGGAAAATTTCCCTTATGGGCTCTGGTAGCACCCTGACCCTCTCATTTGTAGTTCACTGTTACAACTTTAAATTTCATTGTATGATTATTTGATTGTATCTGTTAGCAACACAAGAATAGGACTGAGTCTGTTTTCTTTACCATTGTGTCCTCCACACCTATCTCAGTGTCTGCACACATAAATGTTAGAGAAGCTAATGTTTACTGACATAATGTGCCAGGTACTTAGTGCATTGCATGTATTTCCTCACTTATTCTTCAAAACAACCCTATCTGCACAGAAGAAATTTCACCTGAGAGTTCATCAGGCGAATGGTAGTTTTCGTGCCCACATCCTGTTGAAAGTTGGCTGTTGGTGCTCCATTAAACCTCAGGACTGCGTCATGATCATCTATAAACAACAAGAACAAAGAAAAGAGGTCATAAGAACCCATCATATACAGAAAGAAACGTCTGGAGGGAGAGAGGGCAGGGAAAAGGGAGGGGCAAGAACATAATACTTCCTCATCTTTATCCCATCATGGTATACAGGAAGAAATTATCATGTTGGTATGGTGCAATCAGGTAAAATTCATAGACAGGTGACCCCCCCTGTCTACCTGACCACTGCAATCCATACAATAACACCAGCATGCCTAGCCACAGCAGAAAAGTGAACAGGGCTAGTGGAATCACTATCGTGGTTATCAAAGGAGGAAAACTAAATACTCTCTTGCTATCATCAGTAGGTCACACTTCTAAAAATAAAGACACTACCATAAGCTTGGTTTAACCCTGTAGCGCTATGAAAAGCTTTCGGTGCTCAGCAAATGGGAGGGATTCACGATGGCATCCAAGACCACCCCCTACATGTTCCATTTAGGAACCTGAAGCCCAGAAATGGTCACAAACCTGGTGGTGGCAGAGATGGAACAGAAGGTCATAGAGCTAAACTAAACCCCATATTTTCTATTTAAAAAGAAAAGCTTTTTGTCAGAAACGAATGTTCTGAATCCAGCCAAGATCAAACAGAACATCTTTAAAAATCTCCTCACTCCCTGGCTCCACAGAGCTCCCTGTCGTTGCAGCTGTTTAAGCAGAGTTTGGAAGACTTGGAGAAATTGACCAGCATTCACCAATTCAATGGGGGAGGGAACTTATGACTTTTAGGATCCATCCCAACCCTAAGCCTCTGTGATCCTATAATGACAGTTCATCCCAAGCTTACTTGATCAAGCAAGTTTGGGGTTGACCACTGAAATATGTACAGATTTGGAGGTCAGCCCAATCCTCCATGGTTCTATTTCTCTCCATGTGGGTTTATTTTGGGTGGTTCTTCATCTACAAAGGTGGCATCAGGAGGAAGCGGGGGATGGGCATTTGGCTCAATACAAGATGATCTGAAAGGGGAATAGCAACAGAAATTAGGGATGAAAGCCTCCCTCTTTATTTTAATTCTAATATATATATATATATATATATATATATATATATATATATATATATAAATACACATGAAACCTCAGGAATCTAGACATCTCATTCACAAAAACAACCCTATCCTCAATCCTAGGACAAAATCTTACCAAAGCATTTGAAAGTTACATGACATATACATAGTCCAAACTTTATCAGCTTACAGGGCAGGTACACTGAACTGTAGATAAGGCAGGAGGTACATCTTTACACAACTCAGATTACAACAAGTTTTTTAGAATCAATCACTGATTTCAAAAGTGACTGGTTATAATCATACTAGAAATGCAGATCCATCAGAAATTTCACTTAGTCTACTTTGCTGTCTCACATGTGAATAAATAATTAACCTGAGGGTCCCATTATGAAACAATGACAAGCTCAAGTGAAGCACTAGTTGGGAGTTGAATAAAAGGACTATTTTAAAAGTTGCAGGTTTAAGGAATTCAACAAGGAATGGAGCGATACTCAGGGTTGGCTAAAGCCTTGCAAAATGGAAGGCTATAGGAAACAGCGGCCACCACTTCCCTTTAACTTGGAATTAGAGAGCAGAAAAAGATGCAAACTAGAAAAGGAAGAAATAGTGCACCTCTGTACGTATATGACATAACTTCATGCCTAGAAGATTCAACAGAATCAGCTCATTAGTAAATTCATAAATATATCAAAATCTACTTCCTCCAGGTATGGTAATTCTAAATAGCTGGAAATTATGATGAAAGAAATTTCATCACAATTCAGACCAAACATTTTTTATATTTTCAAATTAGCTTAATGAATCATATAACCATTTGTGGAAGACTACACTCTGATTCTGGTTAGGGAAACTAGATCATATAGATCAGTGTTGGCAAACTAAGGCCCAAATCTGACCCATCCCCTCTTTCTGTCAAATTTCATTGGAACCCAGCTAGGCCCATTCATTTACTACTGCCTATGGTTGCTTTTGCATTATAAGAGTGGAGTTGAGTAGTTGTCAGAGACACTGGATGGTTTCAAAACCAAAAATATTTACTCTCCAACCCTTTACAGGAAAAGTTTGCTGACCCTTGACATAAACTATCATGCTCTTTGAACTCCTCAATCCAAGAGTATGTTCTCAGACCTCACTCTGTCCAAGAACTCTATCTGCCCAAACTCCATCTCCCTTTGCCTTCCATTGCATGGTCTCCTGGTTCTCCTTCAGCCCTTCTCACTGGCCTTTCTGATCTTTTTTTGTACTTGTCCCTGTTCTTTCCGAGTTGTTTCAATGTAAACTTTTCTCTATGTTTTCGCATCAGTCCTCTTTTCTGGGCTACAACTATCACCTTGATACAATAAACTCCTAAATCTGATTTCTCACACTGACCCTTCTCTAGAAGCAAATATCCAACTGCATAGATATCTATCCAGGGAAATCTGCAAACACTTCAAACTCAGCACATCCAAGATGGAACCTGTCCCCTCCAGAAGCATGCTCCCCTGTGATATGCTATAGGCATATCATGGCTCCTGGGCTAGAAACTCTGGCTCCTGTCTCTCAATCAAGGTCATTTCTAGTTAGACACCAAGTTCTGTGTCTTCTACCTCATGATGACACTCAAATCAGACATGTTCCTCCCACCACCACTACCATTGCTCAGACAGGCCTGGCCCATCTCACCTGGGTACGGCAATAGTCCCTGATAAAAGAGAGATGATATAGCAGTCCTCAAAGAACGGGGGCACAGAGAAGTGAGAAATCTCTCCAAACGCACATGATCCCATCATTCACTTGCTCAAAAGCCTCCTAGGGCTCTCCGTGGCAAAAAGAAGGAAACCCAAAGTCTTTATTGTGACTCTCAGCATTCTCTAAGAGCTGAATCCCTGCCACCTTCCTGGCCTCATTCCTCAGCCCTCTATATTCTGTGAGAACCCACATCCCATTCAAACAGGATTATCTGTGATGCCCAAATGCACTCTGCACTTCTTCCTGTGCAGCCTTTCCTCCTTGCTTTTGCCTCAATGCTGAATACTCTTCTGCTTTCCTCTAGTAGAGCAAGGAAGCAAGGGATTTTTTTTTAACCTGACAAGGGATACATCATAGCAAGTTCTATTATAAAGTTATAATCACTGTGAGGCACAACAGCAGAAGCGTTAAGTACGGGGTGGGGGGGGGGCGCCTTTGAGTCAATGACCAGCTTTCGAGCCCAGTCTGCTGTCAACCAGTTGTGTAATCTCTTAATGCCTCAACATTTAGCTTATCAGTAAAATGGGACTAAGCGTATCTGCCTCCCAGGATTGCTGAGAGTATGAGAAAAGCCAGCAAGCCATGTTAGGCACACAGCAGGGACACAGTGAGTGTCACCCCTATTGGTTTTAAAAATCTGCTATTATTTGAAATGAAAATTCAAACAAATCTAAGATACTTTATATGCATGTGTATCAAAAATAATTGAAAATGACTGAAAGTAAATGAAAATGGCTGGTGTGTGGGCCTGCTAGAGACAAAGTATGTATTACAATCCCTGTGGTAAACAATTTTGCAGTGGTTAAAGAAAGCGCCATAGAAGTTACCTTACTTTGGTCTTCTAGCCCCATTCCTGAGATTATTTCCCCTTGGAAAGGCATGAGTGGTCATTTACGTTATCTACACCAAAATCTTGTTAGCAGTACTATTTGAAAGAGCGAACAATTTGAAACCATCTGATATGTTCAATACTTGGGAATAGGCTGGACAAATTCCAGCCAGCAAGGCTATGGGCTTGGCATGCTGCCTGATACTCACACGTCTTCAACAAAAAGGCCCTTCCCTTCCCTCTTTGCAGTCTAGGTTCCTGTTTAGTATTGTTGATAAATCCATGAATGAATAGAAGAACAAATGAATGACTCTTAAAATATTTGTTAGACTAAATGCCCAGAGGAAATATCCTATAAAAAGTAGAATATATGAAGACTAACATGCAATTTTTGTTATATCTCCAGATCAAAGTTCTTCCATGAAAATATATATTTAAAACTATAAGTGCAGTCTACAGAAAAAGATTATTTTAATTAGTTTGGTTAAATCACTCTAAACTTTTATGGAGTGCATAAAAATAAAGATTATAGTTCCGATTCATGGAAGTATCAGGCTGTGACTTAAATAAACTTCAACACAATCCCGGCAGGCAGACAATGATAACTTGACATGAAGAAAAAGATCAGCTAACACTTGGAATTACCATTATAGAGCAAAAATGGGGATGAAAGAAAAAAGATTAGTTTCATTATGGATGAACAAAACCCAATCACATGTACTTTCTTGAGAACGAAGTCTAAAAGAAACCGAAAAAACAAAAATAGAGAGTGGGACTAGTTATCCTGGCAGCTTTTATTAGTAAGTGCTGCCTGTTTGGGGAGGTACAAAATGTGATCTCACCACTTCTTTCTGCTCTAGAGAATCCAATTTGGATCCACTTTTCTTCTTTTGAGAGCCTGTGCTTGGTTTCAGACCATTTTCCCTGGCAGTCATATGCAAGAAATAAAAAAAGGAGACATATGACCTCACCTGCTGCAGCACCTTCCAGAGCCTGACAGAGAACAAGGCTTCCTGTGCTTTGCTTTCTTTAGGCTGATTCATTACACAATAATGGAAAACATTCTCTCAAAATAGGAGAACTAAGGAGTCTTAAGCAAACTGTAACTGTGCTGTACACATGTTTACAAGGATGGATAGACTTTCTATCTTTATTAACTATGAAGGATTTCAAGAAAAGCAAATTGATATATGTCAACCAGTGCCTTTTGAACCTTTTTTTGAGTCACTAACCCCTCTGAGAATCAACTAAAAGCTATGGACTTTCTCTCTGGAAAAATGCACAGACCAGCTTACACATATACACACACATTATACATGCACACTAATCACAGATATTTTTGCATGCAAATTTAGGGATTCATGAATCCCCTGAAGCTGATCCACAGTATCCAAATTAAGTAGAGAAAAAAAATCCAGATATTTGGCATGATGAAGTTAAAGAAAAAAGACCAGTGGATATGTTTTGTTTTTCGTTTGCTTGTTTGTTTTTTGCTTTTTTTTTTTCTGAAAGTAAAATCGAGCTTTTCTGTTTCACAAACTAGTGTAGTCATGTGATTCCTGGTGCCCTCAGCAACATATTATGGGTGTTGTCTTCATTAGCTGCCATCTGTCACAAATGTGGTTTTTTGTTCTAAAATGTCCATAGAATCACTCTTTACTTTGCTATGTGGCCATCAACTATACCACTACCATCTACTGCTTTATCAAAATCTGAGACCTAGAAGGAACCTCGGAGACTATCTTGTCTGACACCATCATCTCCCAGATGCAAATACTCTGACCCGCACAGGCTCTGACAGAGTGCTGCTCCAGGAGTCAGGAGACCTGGCATCTGGCTGGCTTTGCCCTTCCAAGGTGGGAGGCTGCCTAAGCTATGCCCCATCTACTTGGGGCCTCCTTTCTCTCACCTGCAAAGTGAGGAGCTGGACAACATTACTTCTCAAGTCCCTTGCTACTCCAATATGCCAGGATTTTGCATCTGAAAGTTCATCTAACTCAGCATCTTTACACTTTAAAAATTTTATTTATTATTTCATGACATGCTAGAAAAAAATAGAAAACAAAGCAAATAAAATAAAAATACTAAAATTACCCATAACTAGAAAGTCCTAACAATAATCAGACAAGAAAAAGAAATAAAAGTCATCTAATCTGGAAAACAAGAAGTAAAATTATTATTATTTACAGAAGACATAATACTATTGGGCTGTCGAAAAAGTCATGACATGTTTTTGCAACGAAAAACAGAAAAAATACGTCATGACTTTTCCGACAACCCAATATATACAGAGAACCCTAAAAAGTCCACCAAAAAACTATTAGAACTGATAAATAAATTCAGTAAACAGGATTCAAAATCAATATTTAGAATGTGGTTGCATTTTTATACACCAATAATGAACTATTAGAAAGAGAAATTAAGAATAATCCCATTTACAATTGCATCAAAAAGAATAAATACCTATGAATAAATTTAACCAAGGAGGTAAAATACCTGTACTCAAAAAACCATAAGACACTGAAGAAAGAAACTGAAAAGATACAAATAAATGGAAGCATATACCATGCTCATGGATAGAAAGAATTAACATCATTAAAATGTCCATAGTACCCAAAGCAATCTATAGATTCAATGTAATCCCTGTCAAAATACCAATGACATTTTTCACAGAACTAGCACAAATAACCTTAAAATTTATATGGAACCATAAAATATCCCAAAGAGCCACAGCACTCTTAAGAAAAAAGAACAAAATTGAAGGTATCATGCTACCTGATATTAAAATATACCTGATATAAAAACAACATGGTACTGGCATAAAAACACACATATGAAGGTCTGACAATTAAGATCCTAGAAAAACTGCTACATACCTCACTGCTGACTATTACTATGGTCATCTTTGAAATACACCCCTTGGGGAGCTATGCACTGATGTCAGTGCCTAGTTCACACTTCAAAGCAATTTTGGAACTCTTTATCTGGAATGGCCATCAGAGCTGTCATCGTATTACCCTTGATGTCCTGAATGCCATCAAAACATCTTCCTTTCAATATTTCCTTTATCTTTGGGTAAAGATGGAAGTCATGGGGGCCAGATCAGGTGAGTAGGAAAGGTGTTCCAATACAGTTATCTGTTTACTGGCTAAAAACTCCCTTACAGAAAGTACCATGTGAGCTGGTGCATTGTTGTGATGCGAGAGCTATGAATTGTTGGCAATAAATTCAGGTCATCTCACTTTTTCACATAGCCTTTTCAGCACTTCCAAATAGTAAAGTTGGTCAACTGTTCATCCAGTTGGTACAAATGCATAACGAATAACCCTCTGATATCAAAAAAATCATTGCAGCAAGTTCACGAACTTAATTGTCAGACCTTTGTATAGCAATGAAACAGAATAGAGAGCTCAGAAATAAACCCATGCCTATATTGTCATTTAATATATGACAAAGGAGGCAAAAATATACAGTGAGATAAAGATAGTCTATTCAATAATTGATGTTGGGAAAACTGGACAGAAGATACATGCAAAAAATATGAAACTGGACCACCTTCTTACACCATATACAAGAATAAACTCAAAATGGATTCAAGACTTAAATGTGAAACCATAAAACTGCTAGAAGAAAACATAGGCAGTAAACTCTTTTAGTAGCATTTTTTCTGATCTATCTCCTTGGGCAAGGGAAATAAAAGAAAAATAAACAAATGGAATTATATCAAACTAAAAAGTTTTTGCACAGCAAAGGAAACCACCAACAAAACAAAAGGACAGCCTACTGAATGGGAGAAGGTATTTACCAATGTAACATCTGATAAGGGGCTAATATCCAAAATTTATAAGGAACTCATACAACTCAACACCAGAAAAACTGGGCAGAGGACCTGTACAGACATTTTTCCAAAGAGGACATCTAGATGGCCAACAAACGTATGAAAGGATGCTCAATATCACTAATCATCAGAGAAATGCCTATTAAAACCACAATGAGATATCATCCTATATCTCAGGATGGCTGTCAGGATGGCTATCATCAATATATCAACAAACAACAAGTGTTGGCCAGTGTTCAGAGAAAAGGGAACCATTGTGCACTGTTGGTGGGATTGAAAATTAGCACAGCCATTGTAGAAAATAGTTTGGAGGTTCCTCAAAAAATTAAAAATAGAAATACCTTATGACCCAGTAATTCCACTTCTGAGTATTTATCTGAAGAAACCCAAAACACTAATTTGAAAAGATATATGCACCCCTACCTATGTTCATTGCAGCATTATTTACAATAGCCAACATATAGAAGTAATCCAAGTGCCCACCAATAGACAATTGGATAAAGAAGATGTGGTACATATATAATGGAATATTATTTGGCCATAAAAAGAATGAAATATTACTATTTGCAACACATAGATGGACCTAGAGAATATTATGCTAAGTGAAATAAGTCAGACAGAGAAAGACAAATACCATATTATCTCACTTATATGTGGAATCTAAGTAACAAAAATAAATGAACAAACAAAACAGAAACTAGAAAAGCGGGCCCAAGGTCAGTGTTTTTCAATTGTCCTTAAGCCAGAGTTGACACAGGGCCAGCTAAAAGGATGTGGATACAGTCTTCCAGCATCTTTATAAATTAGAATAGCTTTATTTTTATTTGTTTTAAATATTGGTGTTCTACTAAAGATTTCATTTGAAAACAACTGAAATTGACAATTGAAAAAAAACACTGGCCTGGGCCCACTCTGATAGTCCACAGAGACATACCACAGTCTCCAGTGCTGTCTGCATGCCCAGCTCCTCCAAACGACCACTAGCTGTTCAGATAACAATCTCAACACCCCAGAACTCACCTATTTCTCGGCCCAGATGAGAGTATTTCAGAGATCCCGCTGATGAGACAATAGCACACCTGCCCCATGGCCCAGCCTTGGTCCTAATGTTCTCCTTAGGCAGATAGCCCCCCCATTCAGAGGTGTTGAAGGGAAAATCTGTGGCCTCTACCATGGATACATTCACTTGGTCCCGGAGGTGGCAGAGCAGGGCCTCTGCACTGAACTTGACACCAGGCCCTGGCCCCTTGTAAGACACTTTGTATTTGTTCATGTTCATATAATTCTTCCAGATCTTCTGCAGTCTGGGGATAAGGTCTTTGGAAGAGCTGTCCTTGTTCCACACCTGGAAGAAGGCCTCTGGCTTGCTCTTGACTGAGCCCCTGGAACTGCTGAGGGTCTGGCTGCCCCTGTGGCGGTCCTGAGTGATGTTTGAAGGTACAGACTGGGAACCAGACCCCACAGCCAGTTTCTCCAGACTCATCACCTGGAATGCCTTGGTTTGCAATTTAAGGGAATCATAGTAACTCCCTTTCTTCTTCTCCTTCCAGATACAGATGACTGCAAATAGGAGAAAGACCAGAACACAGCAGCTGAATTTTTTCTTCAAGTTGGTGTGAATCATAATGAAAGATGCATTCAAGGGAGCCACTCTGCTCTGAGCAAGAAAACAAACCTAAAAAAAAGTAAGACAAGGCAAAAAATGATGTCAAGAAAATCTACAAGATGTAGGGTGACAGGCAGAGCAATGGATTCAGAGTAATGAGACAATTCCACCCCAGGTCTACCATCCCCCAGGTCTGAAACTCTCAATAAAAATCACCCTCAGTTTGGGCTTTGAGTGTCGAGAACAGTCCTCAGACACCCTCTTCTTCTCTGTGTTCTCCAGTAGTCCTTTTTACACCTTAAATCTTCGTTTCCTCTTGTCTTGGTCTAGCTCCCCAACTGTACTCTGAGCTTCTTGAGGTCAGGAATCATATCTTACACATCATTTTGGTTCCTAGAGCCTCACATTATCTGTTAAATGAAGGCATGCATGCTTGAAACACTAGAAGAAAAGAAGAGCAGGCTAACTGGTCTACATCATAAGAACCAAAGTCCCTAAAACTCCTCAGGAGTTCAGCAACCTTTTAAAATTCCCAGAAAGAGACCTCTCACCATAGACAATGTCATAGCTTTGTGATGCCTCTCTCTATGGGCTGTGGTGTTAAGACCCCTACATGCAAAGAGCAAGGGTTAGCTTCACAACATAACATCACTAGCCATGAAGTTGTTATGATCTCCATCTTGTAGATTAGCCACATGAGGCTCTGAGAGGCCTTAGCCTAGGATCACAGAACTGAGTAAATGGTAACATTTACATTGGGTGGCTCAAACCCAAGTGCATTTGATTCCATAACCCATGCCCTTTTTACTACATCCCATACACAACTGCTGAAAGCTCTGAGAAATGGTTTTCACTAAGCAAATAGAGCCTGAACAGTTCCTCTTCGTGTCTGGGTAAAGACCTACTTTATTTTCCCACAATTTATTGTGTACTGAATGGAAAATGAAAAGACTTTGAACTCAAACAGTGTCTGTATCTTTTGGAAAACATTTAATTCTTTCCTAAATAACTGAGTTTTTTACTGTAATGAGTCTAAGCAATCACCCTCAGGGTTTTGCTAACCCACTAGGGATCTGCAGTCCTTTCCCATGAAGCCCGCTTCTAAGGATATCAGGTATAAGGTAGTATGAGTACTGGATGGGGTATTCACGAAACCAAGTTCTCATCCCCATTCTCGGTGACCTTAAGCAAGTCACTTAACCTCTCTGATGTAAGTTGGGTGAGAAAACTAAGGAAATCAATTTCCTCAGACATCCAACACCGCTAATCACATGATTATAACAGCTGAAGAAGAACTAGAGAAGGGAAAGTAGCATTTAAGAAACACCTACTATATATACTATATATATGGTAGATACTTTACCTGCAATATTTCATTTAATTTTTACTATAACACTATGGGATAAACATCAAACACCTCATTTGAGGAAATGTAAAAATTGACTTCTATGAAGTAAAAAATGTGATAAAAGACAGTGTGATAAAAGACAATGAAGTCAGTGTTGACCAAATGGGACTCAGAAATCAGGGTCACTAGAGAGTCAACACAATCTGCCAGACAATTACAGAGAAACCACCCTCACCATCAGAGCTACAGCAGCCATTACCCATGTACACAGTTTACCACTCAGGCAGTCCTTTCACAGCATTAGGTCTGTGAAGTCCAGGATAACCCTGTACGATAAGCGGAGCAAATTTTATCGGTTGCATTTATAGGTGAAGAAACTGAGGTTTTGTAACTGTAAACAATTTTCAAAGTTGCATGAGTGACTTGGAAATGGTAGAGTTGGGACTTAACTTGATGTGGATGAGTGAAATGAAACAGGAACTAGTGAGCTAGAACCTGATTCACTGTCTAAAGAGCTGAAGCCCAGAAGGGGCTGGTGTTCAGCTTCCTGCCAGCACCTACTCTCCATGGTTGAGTTTCCCAGGAAAACTGCCAGGCATAACACAGACCTGCAACTTTAAGACAGCCTCAGCCTTTAAGTCCTGGGCCCCATCATGGCCTCAGGGCACTCGTCTGAATCTTCACATCAGGTCTTCTGACTCTCTTGAACACCACCCTCTATTGAGGCCCCAAGTCCACCAGCTGGCTGGAGCTTCTGGTCCTAGGCGCTAGAGCTTCAAGACCCTCTTTCATTTCTCAAGCTGCCCTAAAGAGACGGAGGCTGAAGAAGTTTCATCTAAGCAGCCCAAGCTGAAAGAAAGGAGTAGCAAATTTTTCTCCCCAAGGTCTCTGGGAAAATACCAAGCTCTAAATTTTCCGGTCACACCCTGACTGACTCCTTAAGCTTCCAGGCCTTTGCACAGCTGCAATCTCTCCCCTAGTCCGTTTGCCTGGCAACCAGACAGCATGACCTTTCTGCTTCTGACCTCCTGTGGAGTCCACCTCCCCGTTAGCACTATTCTGGCTCAGTCCTGCTCACAGCTAATGTTTAGTAATGCTTGCTTTTTATGTTGACCCCCTGCCAGAGGGCAATTCCTGGCTTATTTCTGAAACCCCAATGCCTAGCACAGTGCCTGGGGAAAAAATGGTCATTTAATAAAGGATTGTTGAGTGGATGGGACTGCATCAATGAATCCTTACAACCCTCGCCAGACTTCTACAAGAATACAATAACAACTCATATTATTACCTACAGAGAACAAGTCAACACTAAACCAACAGAAAGAAAATCCCAGCTAAAGTAAGGCTTCCACCTAGGTCTACCCATCACTATACATGCGGCAGTCAAGGCAGGGCTTGGCACGTAGTGGGGCTCAAAACGGGTGGATTGATTTACAGAATAACATCAAATCTTATATTTATAGTGCACAGAAATAGGCAAGCCATCTATCCCCACTCCTTAATGAAGCAACGAAAGAAAAAAAAAATGCACGAAAAAAAACCAGCAAAGTTGTAGCTAGACATTAAGACCCTGCAACTCCTTGTCAGCACCCTCCACCATTTTTTATTCAGGAATGTACCCCTTTGCTGCCCCCAGTGCCCACACCTCCAGGTGTTTCTTACCTGCTTCTGGCTAATACCCCTGGGGCTGCAGGCCCTCCGGGTCCTCAGGGTCTAGCATTATTCTCCATGGAAGGGATGTTTGCTTTATTGGGTCTGGAGGCCAAGGCTCATTTTTCTCAGAATGATAAAAAAACATCTGCAAAGGCATAAAAAATAAAAAAAAAGAAGAAGATGAAAAAGATAAGGTAAGAGCTGTTTTCCAGCAGGGGCCGTGTTAAAAATTAACAGGATAAATAGGCATTCCTGCTAGTCTACAGCATGGGCCCTGGCCTAAGGCTATGGCTCAATCCAGGAAGCCCACAACAGCTCAGAAAAAGACAGATAAGAGCTATTACAGGTGTAGTGCTTGGGGCCTCAAACAACAGAGACAGCCTAGAAATGGACTGACACTAGATAAGAACATGCTAGAAAGATGAAGCAGGCACCACAAATCCAACAGGGAGGTAAGCACTGGTTAGTCACTGGTTTGGGGAAATAGATAAACAGCAATTTGGGGGAGAGTGGAGTCAGTTCATCTCAAAGTAAACCCTAGGCAGATTTTTTAAAATTATTTATTATCAAAGAATATTTAGTGATATGTGAAAGTTCAATCAGTATGTTATCTTAAAAGATACATTATAAACTGTATATAGTATACTATTCAAATACAGAAAAACACATTTTTTAAAATGTGCATGTGAGAAAGAGAAAGAGCTTAAAAAAAAAAGAACACCCTGGATGGTAAAATAATGAGTGTTTTCATGTTTTACATTTTTTTTGTATATTCCAAATTTTCTAAATTATACATGCATTACTCTTAGAGTTGGAAAAATATTTAAAAATATAATTTTTAAGAGCTAAAAATACAATTCTATATTTGTCAGCTCTTTCTTCTTTCTGATAGAATGTAGAAGAATAACACAGAAAAGTTTAACAGGGCCAGTTGCATGAAAATTCCAACTTCTATGCAATGAAAAAGATTGCAATAAAAAGAAAAACAAGAGTCACGGTATCGAAAGGGTTAATTCAGTAAAAGCTTCTCAAAATAAACAGGCAATCAACTCAAACAGACAAATCATAAAATAAAAAATATAATTTATAAGCTTATGAAATTATGATTAACCTTTAGAGAAACCCAAACGAGGCAACTGGAATATTAAGATACATAAGAAATATATAATTTACATTAACAAGCAGTTTTCAAAATGATAACACTCATTGCTAGACAGATTGTAGAGTAATTGGTACATTTTGAGGAAACAGTAGAAATGAATTTAACCTTTTTAGAAAGTAATCAGGCCATAGAATTAAGAGCTCATGGTTATTAACCATACTTCCAGGAAATAAAACTGTACACATAATCCAAAAGGGAAAAAGATTATACATTTCGGTTTCCTCACATGTAAAATGACTCCCTACCTTACACAGTGTGGTAAGGACTGAAAGAGGAGTAATGGAATAAAGAATGAGTTTTATAAAGCAATATGCACATGCAAAAAGAAAAAGGTTTTAATTTCAAAATTATTTAAAATGGTGAAAAATCTAAGGTTAACAACTAAGCTTCCAGCAATAGAAAAATAATTAAACGGTGGTACATCTGCCATATAGAGGAGCCATATATATATATTTGTATGTGAATTTAAGTGGCAATAAGGAAAAAAATGCTTAAAATATTATAACAAAAAAGTGAAACAAAATATTATCAATGTGAATAAAAATTATGCACATCCAAATATCTAGAAAAAAAATGTACATGGTTGAGACCTGACAACTGTTGATGAGCAAACTGGTAAGAGATGAATTCTCATCTTTCAGTCTCACTTTTGTTATTATTCTTATTATGTTAGTTGAGTAATAAAGGCAAAACTGTTGGGGACAATATTGAAAATACAATTCAACCTGTGTATCAACTTGATATACAATATTGAACTGGCTTCAAAGCCTGTCCAGGAGAAGCAGCATTTACAAAACTAAGAGAAAGCCATGACTTTAACATCTTAAAGTAGTGGCCATGAACTGGCTTCATCCCATGAACGAGGAGGAAATTCTCCCTTGAAGGCTTGAGGTTCAAGCTGGGGGAATCCCGGCTTTTTGTGACCAGGAGGTAAGCAAGTAGGCCCTGGACATGACTGACAGGGCAAAAGTGAGAGGTGCCATTCTGTTCTTTGTCAAAATATTCAGGGCTCTCCTTATGAATTCAGAGAACTGGCTCCCGTCCAGGCTCCTAGTACAGTCAGAAAATGTTTCTGATAACTGTCCCTTTATTCATGTCATGTAAGTTTCCTTTGTGTAATGAGTTTGTAATTATGTATGCATTCATATTATTATTTGGTTACCTTCTGTCTCTGCCTGCTAAAAATGTAAATTTCCTAAGTAGGAACCTCATCAGTCTTCTTCACTCTATCTTCCATGCCCAAATGAGTGTTTGGCACATAGTAGGCACTCAATAACAATTTGTTGAGTGAATGAATGAATGAATGAATGAATGAATAAGGGGAGGGCTACCAGCTCTTAAGAGGTCTATGCTTCCTAGGTATATTGATGGAAAAGGTTCTTTCTCAGCAGCCTCCTAGGGAACACTTTGGGCAGTCTTTGGATGATGCCTCTTGCCTGTAAATGCTGATTCGCTGCCATCCTCCCAATGTGTGTGCTGCTGCGGCATGAGACTTTTATCTGGATTCAGTGCACAGACATCAGAGGAGTGCAGCAAACCCAGATCTTCCTCTCTCACATCAATTGCATCTGCTTGAAACAACTTGCCCTCTAAGAAAATAAAAATCACTCCACACTCCTGATTTCCAAAAACCAACCAGTTGAAACAAAAGTAGCGCAACTGTCAATCTAGTTCTATTATAGGTGATGAGGGCCTTCCAAAAATAGCCACTGCTGCTCATGAGATAGCAGGGGTGATCTTCAACCAGCTGCAGAGGTGAAACAGAATCCTCCCCTCTCTGGGTGAGAAACTTTAACAATCATGACAATAATAACTAGCATTTATTTTGTACTAGCTAAGTGCTAAGCACTGACTATATAGCTTGGTGGTTGAGTTAAGAGCTCTATCAAGCCTCTTCCCCATCCATGATGCAAGACATGTGACCACCTGACACCCTATAGTCATGAGATGTGGAATATAGTGTGGGAGTGGAGTCAAGGGATTTGTAATAGATATGTATGATATTGGGGGGAAATGGGGTGGCGGATTGGGGGAGGGGGGTTGTCACTTCGAGGGTAAAAAGTATAACTATTGCACTGTGTTGTACAGCTGAAACTAATTCTAAAAAATGTGTATTTCATAATAAAAAATAATTTTAAAAAATAAATAAATATTTTTTAAAAAAAAGAGTTAAGAGCTCTAGAATTAGACTGATCTGAGCAAGAGTCCAAACTCTGCTTCCTATCAGTTACATGACCTTGGGCAAGTTATTCAATCCCTTAAGACTCAGCTTCTTCATCTGTAAAATAGAACTAATAAAAACAGAGCCTATCTCCTAGGACTCTTTAAATAATCAAGTAAGAATACACCCAAAGGGATTGCAATAGGGCCTGTGACAAATATTATACACATCACCCTTCACTATCATTTACTCCTCACCATCCCTTACTCTGCGGATACCATTACTATCCCCATTTTACAAGTGGGGAAACTGAGACAGGGAAGATGAGTAATTTACCACTCAGTTGTGGTACTCCACATGTCCCATGCTCTTTCATGCCTTTGTGGCCCTACACATAAAGTTCCTTCTACATGAAATGTCCTTTCCTGCCCTATTCACGTGGGAGCACACTCACTCAGCCTCCCATACCAGCTGCCACTTGGACTTGGAAACTTTTCTTGACCCCACAGAGATCAACACAACTCTACTGTGCCTATTGTGGCTCTCATCAGACTACGTGACATTTATCTGTTTATAGGTCTGCCCAACCAGACTGAGAGCTCCTTTAAGATTTGTCTCTGGTCATCTACATCTCGCCGAGTTCTCCTCCATCCAGATCCTCGAATATTTTAGCTCCTAGTTCACTATAATTCTCTCCAACATTATTTCTGTCATAACTCTTGGTGATAGTAATATCCACCTACAGAATTATTCTAGTCCCCTGGTCTCTCAGTTCTTTGATCTCCTCTACTCTAATGATTGTGACCTCAGCCACTCACTCCCAAGGTCATATCTCTGATCTTGTCATATTAAAAAAATATACCCCCTTCATAGTCTTGATTTCATGCATACACTCTCTAATCACCACTCCTACCTTAGTCCAACCAGCACCCAACTCTAACAATCTTCTGTGGTTGATCATACCACCTTCTCACTGTTTCTCACTTCCTTCATATCCTCCCTTCCCACCCAGCTTAAATTTCATGGTCAATTGTTAAATTGACCTCTCCCATCACACATGGTTGAATAAACCCCAATGCTGGTTAAACTTCCTGTCCTGCACCACACCCGCAAGCATGTAGCTGAACATGGCTAGAGAAAAATCACACAGGATGATTACTGGTTCCACAAGTTCATGGCCACTAACTGCAAGTAGCTCATTAATGCTTCCCAGCAATCATTTGCTTGTTTTCCAGTCAATTGAACTGCTACTCTCCTTGGGGACTATTTGAAACCACTCTCCATGAAAACCCCCCTCTTCCCCCTCTCCCCTGATAAACTTGCTACTTATTCATGGAGAAAAAGGAAGCTACCATAATATAACTTCCACACACTTGCCTTTGTACCCAACTACCCACCCTACCTGCATTTATGCCCAAATGGTCTCTTGTTATTAGGGATGGCTCAGCTGTATTCAACACTTGAAATATCCAACATTTGTCCACTAGATCCTACACACTCTTGTCTAATTAAGGAGATCCTTCTAGAAAATCTCCCCTCTTTCTTTTGCATCAATAGGTATCCCTCTCTCAAAGATCATGCCCATCAGCTATTACTTCTATCTTTAAAAAAAACTCTCTTGATTGAGGCAGTCATCATCTGACCCTCATCAGTCTTAGCATCACTAATAGTGGGACACCTAGACAGGATATGCTTTCTGATGTAAAATAATATGAAACACCTATGAAAAATTCTTGACCAAAATGTTTAATCTGTATATGATCAAGCTTTTATACGCAATTTCAGTTTTTAGGAAATATAAGAGAAAGAAGAACAAGTTAAAAAATACCATAAAGAACTTTTCAGACAAATACAAAAAGTAGGACATTTTACAGGACAACTAAACCAGTTTCATCAACAAGTCGATGAGTATGAAAAGCAAATGACTTAAAAGATATAATTATCATATGCAATATGTAGACCTTGTTTGGATCTTGGTTTGAAAAAAACACCATTGGGGGACAAATAGGGATATTTGAATATAGATTGGTTATTATATGGTATTAAGAAATCATTGTAGTTTTGTTAGGTATAATAATAGGGTCATTATATTATGATTATATGGGGTTATGTAAAGAAAAAAAATCCTATGCATGTGAAGTAGTTAGAGATGAAATCTACTTTAAAATACTTCAGCCAAAAGTTAGATAAGCAAATATGAAAGATGTAATCTCATTTTTTTCAAATGTATTTAAATTAAACTATGTAAGGAATAAGAGTGAGTTGCAGGGCCGGCTGAGTGGTGCGCTGGTTGAGAGCTGGCTTGGGATGCCAGAGGGCCCCGGTTCGGATCCCACATATGAGGGCCAGTGACACTGCCCTCTACAGCTAAGATGCTGAACAACAGCTCAACCTGGAGCTGGGCTGCTGTCCAGCGACAGCATAGGCTGCAGCCCCCGCTGCAGTGGGTTGCCATGGGCTACCGTGTGTAGCCAGCAGCCAGCATGAGCGGCCAGCAGCCAGTGTGAGCGGCAGTCTAGAAGCCAGCAACTGATCTGCCTCTCCTGGGAAGAGCGCAACGATGGTGCCAACTTGGCCAGTGAAGCAACATCCTCCACAGCTAGACTGAAGAACAAAATGACAGCAACTTGTCTGTTCCCTTTCCCCCAATTCCCCAATAAAAAATCTTAAAAAAGAGTGACTTGCAGACTCTACTTGGATAATAGCATTTGGCAGTGGAGAGCGTTTGAAAGTGCTTGAAGAAAAAAGTTGTGGTAGATAATTGTTTCTGTCTTACTGAAATAATTAATTAAAAAAGATATGATTCTACAAAGTCACATTCTTAGCCACTGTATGAGTTCTAGAGTCCATTTCCCTGTCCTATCCACAAAACCTCTTGACCTCATTTTAACTTCCAGCTCTGCCCTTTCTCTTTCCTTTCCAGTAAAACTTCTTGAAATGATTGTCTCTAGTCACTGTTTCCAATTCCTCTCTCCTCATTCTCACTTGAAACTACTCCATCAGGCCTCCCTCATCTCTATGAATCTGCTCTTGTCTGCCTCACCAAGGACCTCCATGGCTGATCAAATGGTCGGTGCTCAGCCTCTATCTGACTCAGCCATCAGCAGTATTGTATGCAGTTGGTCACTTACTCCTCCTGGCTTCCAAAACCTACACTCTCCTGGTTTCACTCCTTCTCAGTGGTCTCTATTGCTGGTTCCTCCTTATCGCTCCACCTCTACACACAGACGTGCCCCTAGGTTCTGTACTTTGTTCATCTATACTAGCTCTCTACTTCCTGGTTGTGAGAGCCTTGTGCTCAGCTCTCCCTCTACCCAGCCTGTAGTTTCCACTCAATACATATTTGTTGATGTGCACTAAAACGGAAGCGGGTTTTCTTGGTGAGTTTATACAGAAAGGAAGTCCTTCATAATTAAAAAAAAAAAAGCAGCAGGATGATGGGGACACTGTACTCACTTCACAATTTCCCCTATCATCTGTTATCTGAGATGGGAGGCAGTGGTGCAGAGAACAATGATGATTTGACTTATTCAGAATAATTAAAATGACTTGTTAAAATGCAGATTCCTGAATTCTACCTCAGTCATCCTGATCCAAGTCATCTGGGATTTCGCTCAGAAATTTACATTTAGCAAGCACTCCACGGGGATTCTGAAACAAGTGGTCCTATCTATACACCATGCTCTGAGAAACATGTAGTTTAGGATAATATTACTCAAAATGAGATCTGCAGGCAAATGTCAGTCTGAGAAAGCTTTGTCAAGATCCAGGATGAGAAAAGCACAGACACTCAGTGTAATCAACTTCTATAGTGATTCAAAAGATTAATTCTATATCTGTTGAATCTAATAATAACTTTAAAAATAGGGCTTGTATTTTATTTATTTTTTTTAATTTTATTTATTAATTATTTTTAGCTGAGCCATCCTGCCACCTGTTGGCAGCTCAGCAGCAGCTCAGCTCGGGCTGAGAATTGAACCAGCGACCCTGTTGGTCAGAGCTTGCACTCTTGAGCGAGCTCTTAACCAACTGAGCCATTCAGCCGGCCCTAAAATAAGGCTTGTATTTTAAATGTTCTTTTTTCATTTTATTATTCTAATAATTATTTTTGCTGTGTTTTAAAAACTATTGATATGTGAAAAGTTGGGGGGGGGAACCCCGGTTCTTCACCACCTAGCTTTAGAGAAAGAGTTCAGACTATGTCATCTCAACGCCCAGATTCAAATCCTGACTTTTCTAACTGTCAGTTATATGTTAGGTCAGTTCATCAACTTCTGTACATTTTGTGTCTTCATCTGTAAAATATGGATAATAATACTTTAAAATTTGCCACCGCAGGGTTGTGGTGACACTTTAATTATTGCTTTGGCTAATAATTATTGAGCTTTTACTGTGTGCTAAGTACTTTACACATGGTCAAGCTCCTGTAATTCGGTGAAGCTCATTTAATTCTTGCAGCATCAATAGTGCCTGAGACAGGCACTGCTATCCTGACTCACAGACGCTGGCAGAACCCTGTCAAGGCTACTGACTCTACATTCCAGCTCCTAGCCACCGAATTCTGCCACCATAGGTCAAAAGGTTAATGGTTATCTCAAAACATTTCTGACAAATCACAATTTTGCTCAAAAGGGCAGCAAAAATCAGCAACATGTTAAGCAACAGGAAACCAACTTGTAGTTGACAGATCTGAGAAGCAAGTGAAAGGAAGTCATGAGAGATTACAAAGTGCCTGACTAGCTGTATTTGTAAGTGTTTACCTGAGGACAAGTCCAGCTGCCTGGCTAACAAGGGGAGGGGGAAATCTTGTCCAGATCAAAGCCCTGAAGATAAAAGGGCTTTCATTTCTGCTTTTCCCAACTGTTCCAGATCCAGGCAGCAAAAAGGGTCTCTTAACAGAGATTAGATCTTTTCTCAGCTGGGCAGGCACTGATGGAGAAGATTGTGAAGTCCTCAGACATGCTTGAGTACATTTCCCTGAGGTTTTCTAGTGCACAGAGAACAGAACCTTGTGGGGTAGTGTTGAGTCCTCACCACAGACAGGGCAGTGATTCTGTGGTCTCTGACCAGAAACAGACACTGTGAACAGGTAAGGAGAGCTCTGAACCCAGGGTGAATAGAGCCATGGCAAAGGGAAATCCCGGACCACCTGCTACAGTCTTCGACCTTGTGCCTTTAACAGGCACACATTTGTAGAATTATATGCCTTCCTATTTGTACTTCACACCCCATCAGCTCCCTTTCTGTAGGCTACCCACTCCCAAAAAGCAGCAGCAGCCCCAGCCCCAGCAGGCAGCTCGCCCAATCTTACTTACCACACTAGACACCCCTCTGGATTCCACTCCATCAGTCAGAGGTAAGCTGAGGAGGAAGGAGCACACAGGGCCTATATAAGGAGGGTTACATCAACACTGCACCCCTCCCTTGCAACAGAGACACCCCTCCTTCCTTCATACTTGATGCACACTCAACAGAGACGCAGACAGAAAGCAAAATAGGTCTCCTTCCTCCTCAGTAAGAGGAACTGTTTCACCTCCTCCTTATCTTTAAAAAAGATTTCAGTTTGGATTATGGAAGGTTTTACACATACAAAAACTATAGGAAATAGCATAATTAATGAACCTCTCTTTTTTCATAACCCAGGTCCAAAGATGATCAACATTTTGCCAATCTTGTCTATGTGTCCCCCCTTCCCCATTTTTCTCCTGGAGTCATTGAAGCAAATGTCAGCCTCACCTGCCTGGCACCTAGAATGGTATTGGCTTATGTACTGTCCTCGGGAAAAACAGAACATGAGCTCTCAAATCGTTGTCCATGGAGTTGACTTCTCTGGAACAGGATACACACACATGTGTTAGGCCCTTGCAGAGAATATACCTACATATAACCACAATGCCAGTACCACCTAATATCCAATCCATTTTCAAATTTTTACCAATTCTCTCAAAAATGTCTTTTCCACTAACTTCCTTGAATGAGGATCCAAACAAGGTGGGCACATTTTGTTTGGATGACATGCCACTCTCAACTCTCTTTTCATTTATAACAGTTCCCCACTCCCTTGTTTTTCTTTCTCATGACGTATATTGTTGAAAAAGCTAATTCATTTGTGCTGAATCTGGCTGACAGCCCCCTTATGGTGTTAACTTACTCCTCTTTGTTCTGTTTCCTCTAGACTGAGTGTTAGATTTCAAGGCCTGGTGAGATTCAGTGGTTTCAAGTTCAACAGTTCTCCCAATATTTTTATATCTAAGAGGATCTAAGCCCTGGTTGTTTAAGGAAGTTGGGGTGGGGAAAGTGCACAGAAAGGGCTGAGCCCCTCTACTTTGCAGTGGTCCCTGTGAAAACAACATGCACCAATGCTCATAAGTAGGCTCACTCATTCAGCAAATACTTATTGTCTACTGTGACCCAAACTGGAGATACAGCAGTGCAGAAACCAGCCAGAACTTGCCTCCTACTGAGGGGGTAAATAAAGAGTAAAACAAAATAAATATGTATGAAGTGCTATAGAAGAGGATAACTGCTATGCAGAAAATTAAAGCAGGGAAGATGGAGAGGGACGGCAGGGTGTGTGGGGGGGAGGATGTCGATCAGTATTAAATTGGATAGTCAGAGAAAGCCTCACTAAGAAGGCATTTGAGCAAAGATTGGAGGGAGGTAAAAGAGGGGTCATGAAGATTTCTGAAAGAAGAGGGTTTTAGGTGGAGGGAATAGCAAAATCCCTAGGCAGGGGCATGCCTGGCCTGTTTCAAGAACAACATGGAGGTCGGGAACAGAGTGTGCAAGGAAAGGGGGTAGCATGAGATGAGCTCAGGAAGTGTTAGGAGTAAGATCACGTGGGGGCCTTAGACTGTTTGTTGTAAGGATTCTAGCTTTCATCCTGAATAAGTCTTAGCTGACTTATGTTTGAAAGGGATCATTCTGGCTCCTGCACTGAAAATCAACTGTGGTAGGCTGCAGGTTGGGGGAGGTTAAAAGAAAAAAAAGAAAGAAAGAAAGAAAGAAAAAGAAAACCTTTTAAGAGGCCACAGCCCAGGTGAGAAAGGCCCATAGGCCCATGAGCCCGTTTACTGAGCTCTTACTGGTTGCTAGCATTTTATATATGTTACCAAGCCGAATCCTTACCATCACCCTAAGGGGTGGGGTATTAACAACCCCCTTTTATAAATGATGAAACCAAGGCTCTACAAGTTTAAGTCATTTGCTCAAGATGTCATTGTAAGTGGTCAAACTAGGGAGTGAGACAGATTATTCTACCTTGCAAGCTGCTCATGCTATCCAACATCCGTCCCTTTACTCAGGGCCCTTCTAAGGGCTCCTCAGGGCCTGTCTGCTTGACTGGGTCAACTATAGTTGCCAGTCACCAGCTAGGACATTCTGGTGACCTCCCTTTACTCTGCCCTGATCCCCATCTTTTTAACCTCTCAGTGTGCACACCTCAGTCTCATCTGTGCCTTAACACCTGTACTTTCTGTCCCTAAATACCTTGACACCCTATACGCCTCCAGAGGAGTCATCCTGTAATGACTCCTCTTCCTGTTTCCTCGTGTCAGGGATGGCTGGCTGTCCCACCAAAAATGTGCTCTTTCTGCCATAGAGAGTTGTTGCTGAAAGTGGTGGCCCAGCCAGGGGTGACATTTTCCAGCAAGTGCACACACACACCCTGCATCTAGGTGAAACCATATAACTAGTTTTCAGCAGTAAAATATGAGCCCAAAATAACATGTGTCACTTTGGGCCTAAGGTGATTAGGAAGTGAAACTATTTGTGAGTCTATTTGGCAGCTAGCGTTCCTCTAATAGAGCTACATAGTAGAGACTTCCTAAATAGTTGTTTCTACTGATCTAAGAACATCAACAGAATTCTCAGCTATGGATTTTTCCTCATCCACACCGTTTTCTCCTCAAGCCAATGTTTTACAGTAAAACCTTGATTTGTGAGCATAATTCATTCTGGAAACACGCTTGTAATCCAAAGCATTTGTATATCAAAGCGAATTTCTCCATAAGAAGTAATGGAAACTCAGATGATTCGTTCCACAACCCAAAAAATATTCATATCAAAATGATTACAATACTGTAATACAAAATAATAAAGAAAATACAAAATATAAAGAAAAATAAACAAATTAACCTGCACATACCTTTGAAAACCTTCGTGGCTGGTGTAAGGGAGACAGAGAGACGAGGACGAGGACGAGAGAGTTATTGTGTAGGACGACTGTCACTACCACTAACGGAATCACTGCTATCTATCGGCTCAATGGAACCTTTTTCTTTTCATGCAGTTTTAACAAGGTACTTATCCAATGATGATTTTACCTCCTTTTGAGGATTTCGCAGAAATGTGACATTGCATTGTTGTTAAACAGATTCATCGCTCGCACTGCTACAGCCTTATTCGGGTGGTGCTTTTCTACAAAATTTTGCACTGTTTCCCACATTTTACACATCTCCCTAATCTCATTTGAAGTGAGGGATTCCTCCGCCTTTTTCTCCTCCTTCTCTGCAGACGAGATCTCCTCCATAACCTCCGAGCACGAGCACGGGAGACGATCACCCACAATCCCGCAGCGAGACAGAAAAATTGGCACAGTTGTGATCATGTGATGTTTAGTGTCACGTACTACTCGTTTATCAAGTTAAAATTTATTAGAAATATTTGCTCGTCTTGCGGGATACTCACAGAACAAGTTACTCGCAATCCAAGGTTTTACTGTACTAGCAAGGTGGAAAAACACATGTTCCCACAAATTTAGTCAAACCCAATGGTTCCTAAATTCTCACACACCAAACTTCTTGTATTTGTTTCCCCCTGCTATGATCCCCAGGTTTTGAAAGATGTTATCAGCCAAATTAAGAATTTGAGTTCTTATTTCTTATCAAATGAACAAAGATATTGCTGCCAATAAGAGATTCAGACTAGTATGAGATTGTCATTGTTATCACAATCAGTAGATAAAAGTGCACCATGATACAAAGAAACGATGCTTTCCTCAGCGTGTGCAGGTTTGTTGGGATAAATGTGATTCTCCCATCTTGCTTTTTGAGAAACTAAAAATGTTTTGCGTTTCTCTAGAGACCCAGGATGAGGAATTCTGGTTTGTATGGCCTGAAACTTACCCCAACACAATCATAACTTTCTGATCCCTGCAGTCCTCCTAAAAAACAGGTTCTACTGGTGGGTTAAATACCAAAAGGTACTAAAACAAAATTACCCCTCAATGTCTCCAACCAGGCAGAATTGAGGCACTTTAAGCTTAGCTGAAAGAATCCGGCTCCCAAGTGATAAAAAATCAGGAGACTAGCAATGTAAAATCTAAATTTTACTGACTGCCAGATCAAACAAATACAAGCCTCCCTCCCATCATCTCAGCACATAGCAAGCAGCTGAATGCACAGCAGCAGTTACATGAAAAAGATGCCCCCACCCCCTATCCCGGGGACAGAAGGACAGAGCTATTATAGCTGGGTAGAGAAATTAAGCTGCCCAGAGCTGAAGAGCAAAGGAGGATCAAATGGCAACAACACAGGAAGGAAAGAGTTCTATGGAAAGACCAAAGATTGACAAGTTTCTCTTAAATCCTTCAAGAGTCTGATGACCTACCTCTCTCTCTTCAAACCCCAGTTTAACTGTGTCATATTCATGAGAACAATGATGTCTGCTAATGTTGCCTTGAACACAATTACCTTCAGGAACTACTGGGTTGGAAATCATTCCAGGGGCTGTTTTTCCTTCCCTTCCATCATGATTTTACCTGTCTATGCAGGAGGTAGTCAGGGCCAGGGTCTCTTGACATCTCCTAAGTGCAAGAATCATTGAAGTGAGCTGCCTCTGTTAAGGTCACACGGTGACAACTGTTTACTTCTCTCACCTTAGCAAATTGTTCTCATTCCTAGGACCAGCCCAAGACCAAGTGGGCCACCATACAGAGAGAAAAGGCAAGAGGATGTACAGGAGAAAGAATAGGATCAAGTCTGTCCTCAGAGATGCACCCCACTCCTAGTCCTATTAGTGATAAAGGTCAGCGGTAGAACACTACTTCTCTACATCACCTGGGCATGCACATCACCTAGGAAACATTTAAAAAATATAAATGCCCAATATTAGCCTCAATAGATTGATCTACCTCGTCTGGACCAATAAACATTAATAGAGACCTTGAAGAATATGAAAGTTCATAGGAGGGTGGCCTTAGGCAGAATGGGAGGGGAGCCAGGTCTTTCCTGGAAGCAGGTAGGGGGGCAGGGCAATACCAGCCCAGCCCAGGGTAGACATGGATGACGACTCAATGCATGGACTCAAGCATTTTAAGTCCCTACTTAACACGGGTTCCTTCACAACCCAGGGAGCTTGCTGCCCCATCATGGCCCACAGTTACTGAGGAACTGGAGGGCCTCAAATTCAATCCAGGTCTTCAAGACTTTCAGGCCAAACTGTCATCAATTCTGGGCTCCCACCCAAATAGGGAGATGTAAATAATTCATGTATGTTATGAGGCCAGGGAGAGTCAGTACTACTCGAGAGAGCGCCAACAGCCCTTGCATCGTGGTATACCTTTTCACTTTTCTCTACTCCTGACTGTGATCTTGACTTTGGTCACCATCTGACACAGGCAGCAACGTGGCTGACTATTAATATCTTAAGGGGAGGCGTATGCTGTGTACACTCTGAGCTGTCCCAGATGAGGGCTCACACTCAACTTCTGCTCTTGGCTGGCGGTCCATTCCATCCTAGAAGGCAAGGGCTGGTTCTCTGGGATTTTTCACATTTATTTCCCTCCCCACAACACATACACAAAAACCAGTTTATATCTGTACCTATTTTGGTGCTCAATGGAGCATGTTGACTGGTGGAAGTTTTGGACATTTTTCTTTAGGGTCCAGATCCACAGATTTCAATCTCAGCACTCACTAGTTAATCTCACCCCCAAACCTCCCTCCTCGCCACTCCCTCCTTTCACTTCAGGGATCCAAGGTCATACACAAAGTGGAAGCTTTCAGACTCTCCAGTGTGGAGTCTTCTACCTGTGTGGACTTCCACCATACTCCTGGCCTGAGCGACTGCGCTCTGGCACGCTCCTCCAGGTGTTGAGTGAGAGAATACTATTCTTCCAATCAGACAGGGCTCTATGAGGATAGAGTTCAACACCCCTTCTGTTTCCTTCCCAACACTGCCAAGCACAAGGTACACAGGTGGCACTCATGATCAGACTGGTGCCCACTGCCAGGCCTTGTGGTATATGTGTGTTCAGGGTGGGAAGTGGTTAATCTGTAAATAAGAAAATGATTTTAGATTTCAACTGAAATAATCAATGAACATGAAGCACCTACGGGGCATGTAGCCCTATAGAGAGCATCGTGGCTGCTATCTGAGGGCTTCCTAGGTGTCGGGCACTGTGCTAAACCTGTACATACAATAGTTTGTACAATCTTAACCACCATCCTGAGATTGGCATGGATATAATTTCCATTTTGCAGATAAGGAAGCTAAATCTTAAATAAGTTACAGGGCTTTTGCTAGTTAAGTGGCAGCACCAAGACTTGAATCCACACCCCAATAAACTTTGATAAAAAGAAAAAACCTTGAATCCAGAACCATTGACTCCAAAGAACATGCTCTAAATGCCTGTACTCAGACAGTCACCTTGTTTGACCTGTGACTTTCACAGCCACAACCATGCCCACCTAAACCCAGAAGCAAACGGTTTCAGTTAATAAGGGAACCAATGGTACTGAATTCCAACCCCGAGGCACACTTAGAATGCTAGACATTTGATATAGTATCTCAGTGAATCCTTCAGCAGCCCTGGACGGCTGCTGTTGCTACAGTTGACCTTTGGCATTTACAAAGTCAATATTTGGGGTTTTCACTATTTGAGAACAACTCCAAAGGTCCTAGACATAAAACAGCCTGATTTTGCTCAGGAGTGAATATGAAGTATGGGCATTAGAAAGACGCCAGGAGCCAGTCCATTAGTGCGTGAAAGAGCTCACCCCCAGGCTCTGACGCAGTCAGTGCACAGGGGCTCTGTGCCCTCCACGTGTCAGGAAATGATGGCAATAGCTGCTTTTGCCATCTATGTCAAGGCAAGTTTATGTCAAGGCAAGTTTATACTCAATGATGAATTTCTTTTTAGATTTATAAATGCCCATAACCCTGCATACATGAAATCACTAAGGGACAAAAATCACTTAAATTGTTCAATGATGCATGACTGCACCTATGGGGAAATGATGCACTGCTCTGCTAGCATGTGCATGAGTTCCTCACCTGTCAAGAGAACAAATGTCTCACCTTAGGGCTGTTGTCAATAAGTGAGACCTTGATCACAACAATGAAGAGGTTATTGAGCATTTTCAAAGATCCCAAGAGAACTCTCTCATGAATGTCAGGTTTACTGTTTCAACATTCTGTAGAAGAGGAAACAGGCTGGGGGAGGTCCTATGATCTGCCCAGATACGTCTGGCTCTAACGCCAGTGTGCTTCCCTCCCTACAACTCAACAGTAAGTCATCCAAAAAGTGCCAAGTCCTACATGCTAACCAGTCACAGAACATGACTTAGGAGGATGAAGGGGAAGAAACAGGGCTACAGAAGGAAGAGAGCTGCCCCTGGGCTCCCCACTGTCCCTCCGACCCTTCACCAGTGCTGGCCTGGGAATGGCAGAGCTGTGAGCTTACCTTTTGACCAAATCCATTCAGATCAATCAATTTAACCAAGATGCTGGGAACTGTGAGCTCAGAACAGAACAGAGTATCATACTGGGCCTGACACGCGGCAGATGTTTAATAGATAGTGGTGAGTAAAACTGAACCTAGTGGTGTAGGGGAGGAGAAACAGAAAGCTGGGGCCTGGCTTAGCCCCTGTGGGGGGAGGAGGTCTTTATTTCTGAGAGTAGATGAGCTTTCCAGGGGTGTCACGAGTCAATATTTGTCTTTGGCTAAACCTGAGACCTTGACACTCATCTGTACAAAACCAGTATCTGCCTCTTTCAGTGTTAACTATTTCAACACTGTTCCACAGCAAATAAAACTGGAATTTGGGGCCATCAAGGGAGTTGGAGATAAGGGGCTGCTGCTAGGGAGGCTGAACTCATGGAAAAGCCTGAAACCAGAGCACAGCAGTGTGGTCCCTAGCTCTCCAGCCCAACCAGTGTGTG